GAGAGTTGATAAAGGAGTGGACGATATGAGTCAATCACAGCAAGGCCACAAGGCATCAATAATGAACACAACAATAACAACAGAAGCAATCAAAGATTAGTTAGTTAGTACGGAGATATAAAAACTCGGAGAAAAGAAAAATTCGAATTAAGAAACCGAAGGATGGAGTGGCGAGTGGCAGACAACGCAAAAGATAAATGTGTGGTTGATTTACAGCGTTGGTGACGACCCAACAACGACGAGGAGGTTGATATTTAATGAGAGCAGGCCAGTTGCTGGGCCTTTTGGATCCTCCGTTCCGGTCGACGTTCTGATAAGCTCATTTGTTAGTTCAATGAGGAGGAGGAGGAGGAAGAGTGAGGAAGATGACTGGTGAGTGGACGACGTGGGATGGTAACTAATACACAGTAATGACGGGCTTGTGGTCCTTCACCCATCCCCTTTGAGTGAGTTTAGGCTTCAAAGCGTCCATGGAGGTGGGGGCTGGGGAAAACCTTGCGAACAACAAACAACAACAGCAACTCGCTCATTCTTTCTGATAATGACGAAGCCAGATCATCGAGTGCAAGAATGCAGATTAATTGATTAATGATACTATCAGGCACGAGCAGGATTCCTCGTTTGTAGGCAAATACAGTGGAGGTGATGGTGTATGTGTGTGCGAAATAGGTTGCCATCAACCAAAAAGCAAATAGGCAGCGATGCATTTTGTGTGTGGAAACGAGAAACAGACTCGTGACATACCTGGGCCTCCCTCCTGCTTAGAATCTGACGCTGGATATGGCGGACATGAGTTGTGGAATCATCAACCAGCCTAACACGAACAAGTACTGTAAAGCATCGGAGGAACGGGGGTTGTGATGGGATGAAAAGGAAAGCAGATGATTAGAGATCAACACCGACAACGAAGCCCAAAAAGATCCATTAGTTACTTGGTGGAGTGGAGTGGAATGGAGAGGAGAGGAGAGGAGAGAGGATGAGAGAGGATGAGAACAGGAGGAGAGACTGGGAGTGTTACAAGCCAGAGATTTCAAACGATTCGGCTGTCTGTTGAAGGAGAGAGAAGGGAAAGGAAGGAAAAAGACTTGCTCAACAACAGGTAACACTCTCTCACCCACTCCCCTGTCTATTTTTGATGGCTCTTCTGTCCCCCTTCTGGACATCTACAGCATACTATTTGCAGAGTGACAGGGTAACTAATCTTTCTCTTATGCAGTGATGGCATCATCGCGACCCCCATGTTGTAGCGACCACTGACCCGTCTCCATTCATCAGAACTTACGGGCTGTTGAAGTTACAGCCTAGTTGAAGATGACCTTTTGCAATCTTTCATGACAAAGAAAGCCGTATCAGAATTGAAAACCCCTAGAGAGGCAATAACTAATGTCCTTTTGTTTTTTTGACTAGAAATGTTCCGACGGGATGCTGCGGCCCATCATGAGTCATACTTAGTCGCCGCCGAGTAAAAAATAAAATAAAAAACGCACCAGCTGAACAGTCCACTCCCTGCTACTCTGTTCAGCCTGTCATGGTACAATCCTCTTGATAAACTGATAGTCCCAGGTTGGAAAAAGAGCTTCTCTAGGTATGGATATGTAAAATCATGCCCGAGATCTCAACATGCATTTATTTCACATCGTCAGAGCTGTACGCGAGAGAGATGCTGGGCAGATTCATATAATCCACTGTTTCCCGTCATGTCAGCCGTCAGTCAGTCAGATGTAGGGCCAGGAAGGTAGTATGAATCGCATCGTTTCCAGCACAGGACAGAAACACCCTGTCCCCTCCGGTGTCACCTTGCTTGCCTTGAAGACAAGACAAGCCACTGCGGAGGGCATATGACACAGCCATGCAATCAGACGCCATCTAATCGATCAAAATATCTATGGGGTGTATATATATGTACATGAAATATAGCTTTTAACAACGTCAAGCATATAGCACGTGTGTCACAGTCAAGCTCCTGAACCAGCCTGAGGGAATGCTGCCCACCAAGATCTCTCCAGAAGCCACCAACCTCCATAGGACTCCCTCCAAGCCAGAGACCGAACCAGGAAATAACCAGATTAAACATTAACGTCCTCCTGACACCGCCCACGTATGAACCCTAAGAAAAAGACTATGAACTGTTCTGTACAGTTTTCTGCAACGCCGGCGCAACCGTATAAACACAGGCCAGTTGGCGGTATTGATTTTCGAGACAAATTTGTCGCATACGAGTAGGATTTATCCGAAGCAAGGTCATTCTGCTCCCGAACCCTCCAAGTTTTGCACCAGATTCTCAAGGAATTCCATCAAAGAACGTTCTTTGCAATTCGCAATTCCTTTGGCGCAGTCACCACACACGCGCAAACTGCAAAATGTACAGCGCCATCGCACTTGTTGATCGGCTTTCAGGCAGGTCATACATGGCACGGAGTGATACGCGTTTTTTGAAACCATGAACGATCGATGGGATTGGTAGCAAGAAAAGTGAACTTTGGTAAGCGGTGGTACGACATCCACTTGTACGATTGGCAGAGGTGGTGTCTCCGAAGGATGCTCGGCAGATTCCGATTTAGGTTTGTCGTCTGGGGCCGACGCTTCGGAGCCTTGAGTTCGTTGCTCTTCGCCTCTGCTTTCGCTGGAGACGTCGCTTTCAAAGGGTGGTGAAGGTGATGGTGGGGGGAGTTGAGATCTGCGGCGTGAGTGGTTTCGTTCTGGACCTCGTGAATGCATTCGCATAGGAGGCACGCCGTGAGCGCCATTGATCGCGTTGTCCCACTGTTCAGCCATTCGAAATTGCTTCACCGGGCGCGGTTGCATTGGGCTAATCTTAGGAGACCCGACATTTTCGCCTCGAAGCAACATCGCCTTGGCCGGTCGATGGCCCGACAGCTCGACAGCGACAACAGAGATGTCTGAGCGATTCATCTTCCAGGGAAATGAGATCGTAGCGACGCGGGAACAAACCCGGCTGCTTAGCAAAGCGGAGTAGGCAATATGGGTGCTCCTCGTAAACAATTGAAGGGAACCCCTAGATTATATAGAAAAGGGTCCAGTCGCACCAATGTAACAGATGTCGCCGAGGAAATATAAGGGTAGCTTTAAGCAAAAGCTAGGATGAGAGCATTAAAAGAGGTTATATTCTTTGAAGTCAATTGATTGCCACAATTCTCGCTCCTCAAAGTTGGCTTTGCCAGCCAAATAATCTAATATCCGTCGCTGGGATCCAGACACGCGTGGAAGCAACACCCCCGCAAATCGCCAATCCTGCAACCAGGAACGAGGGAGACAAAATGTATGACAGTTCCTCCATAATTGGGGGCCTTCTCAAGTCAAGCAATGGGACAGAAAACTCTGGGATACGTGGGACCAGCGAGATACACCTCTGCCCAAGGCTACGAAAGCCACCACTAGTGAATCGACTAGAAAGAAATATCAGCAGCCTATCATTGAGACAGGTTGACGAGGATTTTCAAGCCAATGAGCCAAGAGCGTGTGCGATTGCGACTGGATTTAATTTCTTTGGATTAGCAAGGAGAGGAGACCAACCAGCAACGGACTGCTCTCTGTTAGTTGTAAGTTGTAACGTCGATGGCGCTGGGGTAGAGTTTGTCGAGACGCCCTACCTGTGACTGAAGGACAGTTGACACCACCTCGCATCTCTTCGAGACTCAGCATGATGCACACTGAGACAACAAAGACAAGTACAATTCCTCACGTTTCGTCAATCCCTTTTCCCTTGTGGCTTGCTGAAACGACCTGTCATTATCTGTCCGAAAGGCGGATGGTGGATCACGGCAAGGCATCTCGAGAAGCCAAACAGACATACTTTTCAAATGCATTTCAAATGGTCTGCACACCGCTATCATTTTGCGTTATGCATACTCTGTCTGTGTGTGCATGTTGGGCATTTAGACGAGGGCCAACTGATAACTGACGGGAGTGTTCTCTCGCGATCCTCCTTTGAAGCATTGATGAAAGTGACTTGGCTGGTGGATCCGGTGTTTGACATGTTTGCGCTCCTGATCTCGAATTCATCATCCCCCACCAGCAAAAGAACTGAAATTAAAATCTGGAATGGAGTTCGTTAAACGATTGTGGCGTATGTCTAACAAAGTCCTATTTGCTTTGAAGAACTACTCTTCCTGACAACATTGCATTCAGCATCCTGAGGAGCCATTGTTTGTTGGCTGCAGTCTGGACCTCTATCCTCCCATTTCAATTCTGAAAGCTAGGGTGATCAGCTCTATTTTTTCTATGGTTCTTCATGATAAGAGGCTTTCAAGTAACAGCTGTCATTTTCCTTCGCATTTCCGTACCTTCTATCCCATCACCATGATTCCCTATGCAAATCTCACAACAGCCACGCAATTCAACATGGCCCATGATGTCATTCTCTAACTAATTGCTGTCCGACATACAGTAGCACAGTGCTGCGGGCATGAATTCGACTTCAACTAAAAAGGCCCCGATGCTTATCTGGCTGATCCCATTGGCTGGCTAGTTTGACTTCTACATATGTAACTATCTGTGCGGTGAGACAACTTCTCGACCACGCGAAAATATTGTGGAAAATGATAGCCATGTGTAAGTTAGTTATATCTCTGGCTCGGTTGACGGCTAGTTACGTTCAGTACAGACAGGCAGGTTTACTCTTCTCGCGGGGAATCGGTGTCTTCATCCAGGGGCCATGCTTGGAAAAGCCATCAGGCAAAAATTCGTGCCTCTGAATAGCTTAGCTTGATACAATAGCAGACATTAATCCTCCTGATAGTTTTGACTGCAGCAGCATGGGTTCTTGAGACGCTCGTTGAGGACCATTTCGCTTTTCTGTGTGTTGTTTTATCGTACAGGATTTCGGTCTAAACATGAGTTTAGTTCATGCTAAAAAGTAGAAAATTCGGAACCGAGCACATTCTCTAAATTTTATCGCTGTAACCTGAAGGGGTGTCGTGTGTGCTCAAAACGAGGAGAGGATTTTTGTAAGGAAAAAAAATTAAAAAAAAAAAAAATCTTGACCGTGCCAGGGGTCGAACCTGGAATCTCTTGATGTCAACCATTAGAAGGCTCGTAGTCAAGCGCATTGCCATTATGCTACACGGCCAATTTTATAATTGGATACTTAAAAGTATATTTAATCAACAAGAACGATGCAGGTAATTCAAGGCACGCTACGAAGTACTATGTAACTACATAGTACACAGTATCTCTCGAAATTGGTCTTTCTATTGCATGTATATGTCACATCTGCTCTGTTTCATTTAATTTTATTTTACTGTATGTTGAGTAGTTAACCTGGCAAATTGCCAAAGACCTGCTCTGCATTCCACCTCGTTATGTAGCTACGGAGCAGCTAACTTACTTGGTCAACAAAAGCGAAGAGCTCTCAACAAGCGGATTTTGATTGCCAACAGCGTTCTGTAGAGTCTAAACTCAGCAGGAAAGGGAGGATAGATGCGTATAATACATACAGCATCCTCTGCGGCCACTACTAATACTGTGTATACTATGAGGCAATGACGATCACATCTTAAATCTTATCAGATCCAATCTTATCTGATGCCCCATTCCGGTGTCATTGTTCATCAGATAAGTCTCAAATATCGCTGTAACACCACCTCTTCCAACCCTCGGCAGAGTCCCCCCAGTTGACCGTGTGACCGCAATGCATGACCACCTCATCTATGCAGACCAAGAGTCTTCCATCAGTGTTTAGTTATCATCACTTACTTACCTTTGCGACTGGTCGGTATGAAGAGCTAGTTAATGCCTTTAGCTGTGTGACTGCCTCAACTTCTCCGCACTTGGACATGAAGTGGGAATCTTCACATCCAGATCTCAAGTGGCGTGGTTAACTACATAGGCAGCCGATAATTGCAGAGTATTAAAGGCATTTATTTCCCCTCGCTGCTGCTTGCAAGCTTCTACATGCAGTCTGCAACAATTTGCTAACGTCTGATGTTACCTTAGGGCGTTTCTCGGTGAAACTGACAAAATGAAATTGCTGACTTTCCCTACATTCTTCTCCTTACTTTTACCTCTTCGCCTTGGGAGTGCTTCTCCCGTTTCTTCCAGAGGCATTCACAATGATATAACACGACAGGAACCTCTTTTACCAAACAGCCCGCCATCATCTGCGCCAGAGCCAGACAGTGGCCTGAAGACCATTCTAGACATTGAACCAGAATCAAACGTTTCCATCCCCGACTGGCCTACCTCCCACCTACTTGCCAGAAGACTCCTAGCTCTCTCAAGCACAGGCGTTCTGTCTACAATATACCAAAAAGATAACCGCAATCCAGCATTAGTTGGTGTCCCCGTCGGTCTACCAGATTATTTCGCCGACTGCGAGAACGAAGGCGACCCCAAGTTACTGAATCTCTTGGGTCCCGGCAACCCGCTAGTTTTGGCGTTAAATATCGGAACAACGTTTCGAAATACTAAAGCCGGTTCCAACATTTCACTGTCCATCGATTGGTGGCATAATGCTCCATCATCTGTCGATGGCAACCTCGATGACTCTCCAGCTGCCTTCCCACGCCTGTCGTTACTTGGCTGGCTGGATCCTTTACCTTCCACATTCCCAGATGCCTCAAGGGAAACAATGGAGAAATGCTTTTTGGCTGCGCATCCAGATGCAAAATCCTGGCTCCCTGGTGATCCCAATGCTGCACATCGGGGATATTGGGCAAGACTGGTTGTAGAAGAGGCATTTTGGGTCGGAGGATTTGGTGATCGAGCGAGAATTGGATGGCTGAACCCTCAGACATGGAAGGCTATCAAGAAGAGTGGGAAAGAAGGCGAAAAAGGATGGGCGGACGTTAGACTGCCCGGAGAGAAGGCGAACTAATCCGTGATGCTGACTCTTGGGCATAAGGAGATATATCATGATAGTGTAGCAGTCGCTAGTAAATATCGTTCCACAGATAGAGTCCCCTATGGGATGAATCTCCATGGTCGCGGATGTGAAGCCACCTTGGATACTGTGTATAACTCAAAACACGGAGTACACGTACAGCAAAAAACCAGCCGAAATACAATTAATATTGTTGATAGAATCTGCCCGGAAATTGGGAACATTTACCAAAAAGTACGACGAAACCCCCAAATATCTAAGATTCCGGTCCCTAATGACATTCATAGATCCTTAGCTAGAGTTTCATAAGGTCTTTCATCTTCGTCATCTGCGTCATCAAATCTACGCGATTTAAACGACCCGCTCTGCCGCGAGTCCGAAACACTAACCATGTCGGCGAAATCAGGACGCATGGCAGGAATATCGGCTGCCTTGCCAATACCCTGAAGTATATTCACAGGGGAACCAGCAGGCTCCTCGGGCTCTGCTCCGCGCGGTTGCCTAAATGTCGAGATGCGCCATTTTGCGGCGTCTCGAGTTTCCACTTTGGGACCCATTCGTGAACCAAAAGCGCGAGGCAGAGGATCTGTATTAACTCTCCTTGAATGCTCGGGCCTTGTAAACGTGGCGTCAATATCATCATTTCTCGATGTGGGTGCGGCATTAACGCCGTCTTCGCTTGGTCTTGTACGAGGTCTGCCTTTACCTCCCAGTTTCCCAAACCACTTAGGAATGAATCGCACATCCCTACGTCGGTGTTGGATTTTTGATTCATTCTTTTCACGATCCCAGTTTCCGCTTTGAATATTGGTGTTCGTGTAAGCTGGTATCGTTGCGTATGGGTGCCTTGTTGTTCCGGTCAAATTTAATGGTAATGATGATTCAACGGGGTCTTCAAAGCCATTGTATACTCCCAAAGGCAAGGTTGTCGACATCTGTTGGGGACTGAATGAACTTTGATAATAGCCCGCGCAGGGAATGGGCTGAATTTTTGTTGAATATGGCGGTATCGTACCCGTACACGTGTCTCTTCTAAGCAACTGTACGTGCAATGCCACGCCCTCTGTCAAGCGGCTGAGTATTCCACCCCTAATGAATCTTCTGATCAAGCGAATGGAGAGGACACTCCGCTTGCCATGGACGCCCATAGATTTTCCGTAGAATAACTCTTGCAGCGCACCTCGATATCGGGAAGGAATCTCAGAATAATGTTTCCAAACTTGCCGTGCCCTTGAAGCATGTAAATTATAGTCTTGTATCTCGTATTCTCCGCACTGGGTCCAGGCACCGGTGCTGAAATCAAGAATCCAAATTTCCACATATACACGCTCATTGAGCCCAGTTTTAGCGGCGCGTAAAGCCTCAAGTCCCATATCGTTCTTCTGGGGAGATATTATCTTGCTGAAGCCTTTAAGGCGCTGCCTATTACATCTGTTAACTTGAAAAATAAGACTTGGGAGCATCAGCCTACCAGCCAGTTTTCAATTGAGATTGATGGTCATTATTGAAATTATTAGAAGGATTTGGCTTCTGAAAGGACTCTGAATTAAGAATGGGCTCACATTGGTGAAAATAAGGATCGCAAGAGAGATTGAAGTTCCCGTGGCTTCCAGGATGTACTCTTTGAGCAGATTCGGCTCCCTCCGGATCTACCGAATCAGAACTCTCGCGCGTGGAATCGCCACTGAATCGATGTATTCCCTTCCTGGATTGAATTCCCCTTATTTTCGCGTTGCGTTTCCCCCATTTCAGATCTCTATCTGGAGATGCCATCTGGTATCCAGGATACTCCTCTTTTCGTTTTGCTGGTCTTCCAAAACAGACGCGTCAGTAACAATGCACAAATGTCAAACAGCATTTAGAAGACAGCGGTATACTTCATGACGTTCGCCACTGTAAATGAGAACTGTAGACCACTTTTGATGGTTTGCAATAGAGACAACAGCTTCTCAAGTTTCAATTTGGTATGAGGCCATGTCACTTTATGGCGCAGCGAAATGGAAGCCTTGTCTCTTCCAAGGTAGCTGGGAAGATTGAGGATGCTTTCAATTTGTCGAACGACTTCCGCGTATTGATTGGCGTTTCGAACAATTCGATCAACAGTACACGATGTAAGCATCCCGTGCTCCGAGTCCAAATGCATCGAAATAACTGTGGAAATATCGCATAGCATGGAGCTTGTGTCTAGAATCTGCTCCTGAATATCCTTTATCTCCTTCTCGGCATGCTTCACCGACTCGATATAATCGATTAAACCTCGTGAAAGGTCAATAGAAGCGTTAACGACGGTGATAATCACACCGACTATTTCGAGAGCCGCCATCGCATGGAATTCGAGATTAGATGCTCATCGTATTCTTAAAAACTGAATGGATAACAGGAAACATCTTTCGGGATGAAATAGTGAACTTTAATAGCTTAGAATTCAGAGGCCGTATTCTCCAAAGACCTGGCAATCATGAGCCATTTGAAGCAAAGACAGATAACGTTAATTTCAACCACCGTCGCCACCCGATTTTTGACCTGAAAACGGCCATCGCTCGAAGGGATCAGACAAATTGCTTATAGATATACCATAAAAAGTGGGTTGAACTTGTGGAACGGCCAGAAAATGTGGATGCCTTAAATTGATGTCAATAGTCTCAGAAAGAGAGCTCCTTGGAAAATCTGAAGCACGGTTTGCAATCATCATTTCGCGTTGAAATGAGGAGCCTTGAAAAATTGACACATTCTCGGCACTATTTCGATTAACCTCCATTTCCCAACTATCATCAATGGTCACGCAGGACTGCAATGAGTAGATCAGCAACTAGCACAGGAACAAGAGTCAGGTAGACCTATTGGTTATTGCTTCAGGATACCAGCATCAGTCAAAGCCTGAATGGCCTCAGCCGTCCATTCCTGGCAGCGCCTAATTGGCTCTTGGGGAAACAGCCTACGTGGTCCATCAAACTGTTTCTTCGGAGGTTGTACACTGCAGCAAACGGTTCTGTACATATCGGGATGCATCGCTGCCTGGACCGTGCCGATAAGGACTTTGGTTAAAAATGACGGATCCTCCTCTGGCGGCCGACTCGCAGGTTTGGTTTCATAAGTCATGCCGGTCTGGATGTTACCGGTGACCTGATAGATGTGGCCGCATCCAGTGGTAGGATTGTTTGTTTCGACGAAGATGGCATGGTGGTCGCGGGGCATGCCGGCGGAAGAAACACGATAAACGTTGTAAGACATTTTCCAGCTCTAAGAGA